ACATTGTAATTGTGTGGTTGTTGGATGTTCTAACAGCGGAAAACGGCTCGAGAACTGGGCTTCGGAAGTTTGCGAACTCCATAACAGCAAACGGGAATCAGATCTGCGTGGTAACCTTTGTCTGCCTAAGAAATCATCCCGAGTTTGCAGTGAACATTTTGTATGTGGAGCACCAACAAAGCAAAATCCCGATCCCTCACTCAATCTCGGTAATGAATATAAAACACCAACGCCAAAGCGAAAGGCACCAACTGTTCACCAAGAAACACCTTCCACTGCAAAGTGACCAAGACGTGATGTTGCTGTAAAGTCACAAGAACAAGAAAGTGCGAGCTCAGTCTGCTTGTCTTCTGCACCTCTCGCTTAACAAACGGGATCCCGCTTTCATGACGCTCCACATACAAAATGTTGGCTGCAAACTTGGGATGATTTCTTAGGCTTTTTTTCAATTCCGTTGGGAAGGGAAACAGTTTGAACGGAGGTTTGCAATCACACACATCTGATTCCCTTTTGCATTTATGGAGTTTGCAAACTTCCAAAGCCCGTTTCTTGAGCCATTTTCCCCTGTTAGGATCCAACAACCACACAATTATGAAGTCAGAATCCCAAAGCTAAAATATGACAATATCAGAACCAGAAACAAAAGTGATATGGTTCAAAAGACTTGAAAAGATCGGCTTTGTCAATAGACGCATCCCACTGGGAAATCAGTGGGAGGTTTGATGCTCACTTTTTCGGAAAATCCTTCCCAGTATGCATTGCGCGATTACCATGGCTTGAAGCTCAAAGAGTACATTTTGTGTAATATCGGATCTTTAAGTGCTCAAAGTAAACCACAAAAACTAAAATCTAACCAAATTAAGATTCCTTGAATTAAGAATGTTTTATCTGATTTTGATTTGAGTAAATTGACAAATGGAACAAGACTTTTTGTACTTAAAGGTTGTATAGAGGATTTTTTAAGGGAAGAGAAATACAGCGACAGTCCTTTTTTCAAATGTTGTGCATGCGTGACACCACCTTCCTCCTCCACAGCTCCCGCCTCTTTACTCTAGAAATCACACTTGTTTACAGCCAGTGCGTCTTCAGAATTACTGTTGAAGTGACCTGTCAGTGACGCGTCAGTTTTTAGACCCTTCATCTGCTTCAGTCGTGCAGTCGCTGGAAGGAATCTCCAAGAATCACCTCAATTTGGTTTTGCTCCTTTTCCCCTTCTCTTCTTCTTTCAGCGACCTCAAAAACTGACTTTCTTTTGCGGCGAACCGGTCGTCGATTCTCGTCCTCCATCTCAACAAGCTTTTTGCAAACTGAGAGGAAGCTACAGTTTAAAAAAGCCTCTAAGAACCGCTGCATAAACCACATAATCCCCACGCACCGGCGAGTCAGTTACACTAGAAACGTAGGGAGTTCGATTAACAACCTAACAGCCAATAGATAAAGAGGGAGCCTCGTTGTCTATTGGCTGATGTTTGTCTGGCCTCACTACGTCCACAGTTGATAGATTTTCGTTCTTTTTTTTTTTTTGGTCATCATAATTACAAGGCTGCTGCATCTCTGTATTGGTATTTTAAACTTTCATTGACAATTTGAAACAAAAAAAAAATCCTCCATACAACCTTTAATTCAAGCAACATTTTCATATTTTAAGAAAAACACACTTATTCCATTGATAGATCAGTTTACTTTACAATTTGAATCTTCTCAAATCAAGTAAAATTTTCTTAATTTAAACTTGTTGCTTTTTGTAGTGTATTTTATCCCAGTGTAAGTCATTTTGTTCACCGGATTTGACCTATCCTCCTTTGAAACCATTAAACAATTGCAGCAGTGTTTTACTAACAACGATTATCCTCTGTGGTTTCAAGTGTCTTAAATTTGGTGGGAAAATGTGGTTTCATCTTTACAATGAGCCAAAGCTAATCCTGCGGTCACTGCACTCCACCCAGTCGAGAACACGGTTTTACTGAATGTTTAAGTCCAACTATAACACGCTGTAGTGATGTCACATACACTGTCATTAGCACATCATTTCAGTTCAGCTTTGTTATTTCTGTGTCGAGATCCTACTTCAAAATCACCTCATCCCAATTTCGTGCTACGCTGTGTTCTCCTGTAGACACTTTACCCACTTTTAAGGATTATTATGCTTTGTTTTTTGTTCTCATCTATGTTTTAATTTTGTTTCTTCATCAAAAGCATACCTGGAGTTAAGGCTGTGCAATTAATCGAATTTTGATCGCGATTTCAATTTGTGTGTCAAATTATCTCCAAACTCAAATAATCGAGTTGAAACGGTTTACGTGCTGGAGAAATTGAGGTTCGGTTGTGCAACATAGAACCCGCAGCAATCGGCACGGTTCTAAAGTCCGAGTGTGAGGCTTACCAAAGTTTATTCTGGGATATTTTTTTTTATATAAATGAGTGTATTTATTTTATTTTTTAAATATAGAGATTGTAGAACAGCTGGATATATAGTTTATTTTGGATATATTTATGTTTTTCTATGCCTTATGTCATGTTCGAAGTTTATTTTATTCATTTTATACATCGCAAAACTGCTCCAAGGTACAAATCAATTTGAAAGTTTTGCATAAATTATCAATAACAAAGTGATTTAGGGTTTTGTTTTTTTGAGAGAGAGAAATGCTGAATAAATGCATCATGTAACTAAAAAAAAATTAAAAAATCGTTAGAATAGTGATTTCAATATTGACCAAAATAATCGTGATAATGATTTTTTTCCATAATCGAGCAGCTGTTTGTTTAAAATGCCTTGACAAGACTTTTCTTCTGTCATAATCCAAATAAATAAGATTTAAAAGTCCTTATTTCTTCATGTACTAGTAATTGGCACGAAAATGGAGCAAAGGATCATGGTCTATGTAGTTCCCTCTGTTTTGTTTTAGCTACATTGCTACACTATAACTATTAATTTAAGTAAAGAAACATGTAATTCAATATATTATGGTATTATTCTACCCTACAAAGGCAGAGAGCCGTAACATCATGTCTGGTCAAAAATGCGTTGATGTCATTTTTGGGGTATTTGAAACCTCTTTTGAATAAAGATCGTGAAAAATATTGAACTCAGAATTTACCTTTGACCTTATTTGTCAGTTCCTGTACTCGATCTTTGTATCATGAGCCAAAAATAAGGAGTCGTGTAAAGGCAAAACCTCTCGCCTCCTTTTTGTCTCGGCCTTGGCACAGGGTCTTAACACAGTAAATAAATAAACCTTTGTATTCAATTATACTTCAATTATATTTAATGTGAAAGTATTGGGTGTATTTATTCATACTGTACACACGATACTGCAAAGTCACTCGTCTGTCAAACTGTTGAACTGTGTAATTGTCGCCGCATCATCTTGATCAGAAATAAACAGGAAATCTAAAGCTCTTCTAGACAATTTCAAACAAACCCCACGATGACTCGACTTGACGTGTTTTTCTTACAATGGATGAAGTCTGGGGAAAATCAAACAAATAATGATCATGTCTCTTTTACTTATTTTTGGCTCATAACACAAAGGCAGAGTACAAGAACTGACAAATAAGGGTCAAAGGTAAATTTTGAGCTCAATATTTTTTGCATACAAATATTTCTTCATTAGAGCAACTAATTGTCAAATTTTGGAAGCCCTGCCTATTATACTTTTGTCTGGACAAAACTTTAAATTGTCAGTTTCCCACTCTGGTGAGTTAAACTCTTTTGCCTTTTTAGGGCAGTATTATGAGACTTTTGATACAATATCATGATATTTCTGTTATTATTATATCCCTATTGCATATAGCCCAGATATATTCAGTCTTACTATATTTCTGTGTTATTTATACATACACACATATAATTATGTCTTTTTTTTTGAGGCCCTTTTGTTATGTTTGGTACTTATTTTGAATTTATTATTCACATTTAAATTTTTGCTCTTTATTATTATAATATAAATGTGATAGTCCAATGAGGTTCATTTGGATTTCTGATAATTTATGTTATTAGGTTCTTTTCTCTGACGAAGAGTTTGTTTTCATACCTGACAGTTTCGACTGCTCAGTCACAGTTTTCCTCAAAGTGGTCATGTGATGTTGCTGTGACATGTCGGTCAGCTGATTTATACAGGTTTTGGCGATGTCTTCCTACCAGTGGAGGCAGGACAGCGCCATCTGCAGTCCTACTTCCTCAGGACAGTATCCCAGGTGTGTGTGAGTAAACAGGACCGGACTATAAACTGGGACGAGGGTTTTTTTTACTCTCACACACCTGGGACACTGTCCTGAGGAAGTCGGACTGCAGATGGCGCTGTCGTCCTGCCTCCACCTTGGGAAGACAGCACCAAAACCTGTATAAAAGACACGCCACAGCAACATCACGTGACTCTGAGTTAGACCACAGGGAGCAGTCGAAACTGTCAGGTGTAAAAAAAAAAAAAACCTCTTATGCTGAAAAAAGAACCTAATAATAACAAATAAATGTGATGTGTGGGCTACTCTGTCCCATGTGGATCAATAAAATTCGAACCATTTTGTTCAAATAAATGCCTCCAGCTTTAAGTGCTCTTGTTATTTCACTCCCCCACTGTTTTGGCTCTGTTATCACTGTCTTAAATGGACTATCCAAAGTGCCCAGTGGACTTTTATGCTAATGAACCCAAAACGCGCGCTCTCAAAGCTCTGGCTAAAGCGTCACTTCACTTCACTTCACTTCACTTGGGTCTGGGAGTCGCTGCTGTCTGTCTCCATTACGGACGAATCGGTTCTCTTGACAACTGCTCCGGATCGCAGGAATAACTCCAGTGTTTAGTAATGAATGAGTCACCGTGCGCCGCCGCTGAGGAGGACGGAGGCGTGCGGCCAACTGTAGCTCTCCTCCGCGCTCTCTCTCCTCCAGTACCCACCTCTCCCCGGTCTCCAATCTTTCAGTATCCAGCCGGCGCGCAGAGAGGGAAGGGAGGGGACTGAAGTCTGCTCCAAACTGCGACTCCTCCGCGTCGTGTCTCCCTCGTGTAGGCGCACTGTTCATCGGGCCAGCCTCCTCCACGCCTCCCCCGCTTCATCTCTCCACTCCATCCAACCAAACAACCGCATTATTCCTTTTTTTTTTTTTTTTGGTTTATCCGTGCCAACGTGAGGAAGCGTGCCCGCGTTACCGACGTGGTGTATCGCCTCCAGGCTGCAGCGCCGCGCGAAAAAAGCAACACACGATATCAATTTGAGATAAAAAAAACTTAAGGCATGCCATCCGTATCGACTGGAAAGACATTGTTTTGGGTAGAAAATCGCTTCGTTACTTCTTGAGTCGACGCGAAAAGAAGTTGCAGCAATGGAGCGGACGCGTAACCACGACGCCGGAGTCACGTACTTGGGGAAAGCCGACGAAATTGACGGAGTTTACGATCTGGAACATCTGGAACATCTGCCGCCGCTACTCGAGGATGAGGTGGGTTCAATGGTCGGAGTAAAGCGTGGGATTTATTAGCGTTGTTGTCGTTGCTGGCGAAATAGAATCGTATTTTTTGGCTCGCTAAGAAAAGCTTGGACATGTTTCTAAGCCATGTCGCTCCAAAAAGTAAACCAGCAACTTATGACAACGTAAAAATGTTGGTTTTCTATTACGTAGCTGCTTTTAATGTTACGATATCATGTTTTTTTGTGTGTGAAGAAAGATCACGATTTCACGAGGATTCAGAATTCTTGCCAACTCAACCAAACATCTTTATTAAATCAAACTTTCTGAATGATGAAGTTAAGTTAACGTGACATAATTAAGTTAAAATCACGTATTTTTATGTTTACTTTGTAGAGGATTAGATTAGATTCATTGGAATGACTCAAATTCTTGACATCGTTACTCACAAGTTTTTCTGTCGTCTACTTACAATGATCAAAAGACCAGAAAAAAAAGCTTTGGGAATCGTTTTAATGATTTAGTTTGCTGTGCAGCTGTAATTTTTATTGTATGATTTAGGTTTGCTTTCGTTTTTGCTTTACTGTGCTGATGTAATGGTCCAGATGCAGTAACTAGGACAGCTGGGAAGTGTAAGACAGCCTGCTCCATAACATTTCAACGCAGTCTCCTCCGAGTCTAGTTTGTTTCCACTGCTCCAAACAAACCCATAGATCTATGAGTGTGTACTTGACGTTATTATAACAGTCCAACACATGTTAACATGCAGGGTCCCGCCTCACATCCTGCTGACATGTAGTAGGAGTAGGTTTGTAGATGTGTTGTCATCACTGGTACGAAATCAGGACTGAAGCTGTTTCAAAAAGAATCCTGGATCTTAAAGGTGTCACTTTTATGGTGGGGGGTTCGCGATCTGGTTGTCTCTGTGGTGATGTTATTGGTTTGCTTGGAGTGTTCCGCAGTATGGCATTAAACTTCTCTATCTCCATGGAGACGTGCACACAGGGGGCACCTCCAGGCCGAGTTAGAAGTCAGATCTGTAAGTAAGAATGCAGCTTTTTCAATATTTCAATCTGTTTTTAAGCAATAACAAATGAACGGACAAATGCAAAATGGACATCTTTAATGCCATACTGTGGAACATTCCAGGTAGAGCATAAACTGTATAAAGAAGTAGACAAAGGGAGTCTGATGTCACCCATAACCTTCGGCTCCAGTCAAGTGAAGCTCATGAGGCTTGCGGTTATAGGGGCAAATTTGGTGTCATTTCCGTATTAGAAACAGGAATGTATTCGTGGACAATATGGTAGGGGTGTAACGGTTCACAAAAATCATGTATGTATGTATGTACCTTGGTTTTGAGGTCATGGTTCTGTTCATTTTTGGAACAATATGGGAACAAAACCATTAACATTATACAAACGGGAAAATAAAATAAATGCAAAGTGCTGCTTGCTGATATTAATAAGTTAAATCAAATATTCTCAAATAAGCAACAAATGTTTGAAATATTATAAAAAATTAATTCCTTGTAAACAGTAAACAAAACTGACGACGACCATAGTTTTGTGAGGATTCATGTGGTTCGAAGGGACATAGTCAAGGTCGGGGGCAATTGTTGTCAAGGTGGCCGCCCTAACTATAAAGCACTGGGGTAAACGCTGCCACCCCAATCACATTCAAGTTCCCTCAAGAATATTAATGAGCGTGTAGCTGAACATCTTGTGGAGGAATGTAAACGCACACAAATTGCGCAAACTCACTTGTGCACAGCCCTGCACCGAACCTAACGTCCCGTACCTAATGGTTCGGCACGAATACATGCACCGTTACACCCCTACAAAATAGTACAATAAAAGCACGTGGATCATGTAGAGCAGGTTACTAAGAACATTTTAACACCAAAATTGGGCCTGATAGCAGCAGTTATTGAAATGTTTTCTCAGTACAAAGTGAATTTGAACTGTTGTCAGTGGAGCCAGAAGTGCGTCCATGCTCACTTCCGATTTGGAACGCTGTGACTACCGGGTTAACTATTTAGCTTTTTATATATACAGTCTATGAGGTAAAGGAATAGCATGGAGACAATTAGGTAGCCCAAAAAAGTTACAAAAAAAAGAGGATTGATGCCACAAGAACTGTCCATTTGTAGTTCCCTGAAAGTAGCCTGTAACTTTGTCCTTTGTCTACAGACACACAGTAAAAGTCCAGCTTGCACTCCTCCACTCTATCATTGTGAGTTACCATAAGCCTCTGGAACTGCATTACAGCCAGTGATGTCAGCTCATACCGGGCCAGTAATGGAAAACAGAACCAATATGTCAAACAAATGCATCCAATTAGATCAGGATTCAATGCACAACTTTCCGTAACATGGTTGTCAATGAGTATAGAGTTTCTGTTTAGGCTTATTTGCGTCTGGCCCTTGTTGCCCTTCACTCTGTAATCATAGAGTCCAATATAAAACTGACCATGACCAGCTTCTCACACGCTGCAGAAAAGCCACTGTACATGATTTTGGCTGTTTTTAAAGTTCCCATGTTACACTCTTTTCTGATCTACAGTGTGTTAAAAAGTCCTTTCCTCATCTCAAACAGACCTGGAGTTGTGTTTTGTTTCATTCACACATGTTTAATGCAAAAACGCTCCATATTTAGGCTTAGTTCTTCTCGCAAACTGAAAACACCCGTTCTATCTTGTGATATCATGTGGAAAAACAGGAAGTGCTCTGCTGTGTTTTTAAATTTCACAAGAATTATTTGGATAATTTGAGCCCTGGTATTCCTAAACAACAAGTAGAGCTGCTAACTTGAAAACCACTGCTTAAAGGTTGTTTGGAGGGTTTTTTTTTGTTTCAAATTGTCAATGAAAGTTCAAAATAGCATTATAGAGAAGCAGCAGACTTGTAATTATGATGACCAAAAAAAAAAGGAATGAAAATCCATCAACTCTGGACATGGTGGAGCCAGCTAAACCTTATCTATTGGCTGTTAGGTTGTCAATCAAACTCCCTGCGTTTCTACCGTACATGACTCGCCGGCGCGCTGGGATTACGTGGTTTATGTTCGCCTCTCACATACGCAAGACGCTGTTTACTCGACCAACGCAGCGGTTTTTAGCGGCTTTTTCGAACTGTAGCTTCCTCGCGGTTTGTACGAAGTTTGTTGCGACGGCAGACAAGAATTCGCAACTAGTTCGCCGCAAAAGAAAGTCAGTTTTTGAGGTCGCCGAAAGAAGAAGAGAAGGGGAAAAGGAGCGAAGCCACACTAAGGTGATTCTTGGAGATTCCTTCCAGCGATGGTGCGACTTAGGGGTGTGCAAAAATATCGATATATCGTATCGTTTAATGTGATGATATAGTATCGATATCGTGGGCTACCGTATCGATATATCACCAAGAGTATATTTGCGTGTGTTTTACTAAATTATTTTGTTACAGTGCTACAGTTTTTTTGCTTGTAGAGTGAAAGGAAACTCATTTATGCGACACATTTGACATTTTCACTGTTTTGAGGATTAAAATGTTTGTGTTTCATATGAATTTTGCACAAGAAGTGGTTTAACAAAGACTTTTAATATCACAGCCATGATTTAGCCTTTATTTTTTATTGAACTGTATCGAATCGATTTGGAATATATCATATCAAATCGAAAGTGCGCTGTATCGAGATATGTATCCTATCGGCAACTTCGTAATGATACCCAGCCCTAGTGCGACTGAAACAAACGAAGGGTCTAAAGACTGACGCGTCGGTCGCTAAATTACTTCTGGACAAGAAACTTCAACAGTGATTCATTCAATTATTGGAGGTGCAGCAGCTGTAAACAAGCATGATTTCTAGCGTAATAAGGAGGTGAGAGGAGGCGTTTATACTTAAGGAGCTGTGGAGGAAGGACAAACAATTGCTGTATTTCTCTTTCCTTGGAAAATCCTCTGTACAACCTTTAATGACAACACAAAGAACAGAGCATTTTGAGCTTTAGAGATGAAGACAGACTCATAAATAGGGTTACTCAGATGTGTGACTTAAACAAAACACTACTCCAGGTCTGTTTTTGAGGAGGTAACAATATTATAACATGACTCGAAGCTCAACATGACAACATGACTCAAACAAGAGTCAGTGTTTTCGTAATCTTGGACCTTTATGCAATGCAAAACAGAGCCAGTTCATTTTAAATGGTTTGCAGTGGTCCTCACTAAGGCTGTGCAATTAATCGGATTTTGATCGAGATTTCGATTTGCGTGTCAAACAGTCTCCAAACTCATATAATCGAGTTGAAACTATTATTTTGGGATGTATTTTAAATTTTTTTTTAAATGTAAAGATTGTAGAACAGCTGGATATAGTTTATTTTGGATACATTTATGTTTTTCTATGCCTTATTTCATGTTAAAAGTGTATTTTATTCCTTTTTTTTTGTTTGATACCTCGCAAAACTGCTCTAAGGTTCATATTCATAGTGTATATTGATTTTTAATTTGAAAGTTTTGCCTAAATTATCAATAAAAAAGTGTTTATTTGAGAGAGAAATGCTGAATAAATGCATTGTGTAACTAAAAAATAAGCATTTGAATAATCCTGATTTCATTATTGACCAAAATAATCGTGATAATGATTTTTTGCCCCAGTCCTCACTTACCTTATGTATTCCAAGCATCTTAATTATTTACCTAAATGAGTTTATAAAGCAGAATTTTGTTGAGACAGTGAAACTAACAACAACTAGCATGCTATCTTTCACTTCCTGACTAACTGACCTGAAATTGCTTTATAATTACAAACAGACAGCACACAGGGGACATTTTTGGACCTAAAGACCTGCGTTTACCGTATGTTTGTACGAGGGCGAGACACATTTTACTCAAATACATGGGAAAAAATAAATAAATTGTACTAGAGACTCTTTGTTGTGGCGGATCTGTGGGTGTGTTAACCATTGCACAAACCCCACACCACAACTGGGACTTAACTGGAACTAGACCAGGACTTAACTGGAACTAGACCAGGACCAAACCAGGTCAATGAGCC